TGGTGAACTCTTGGATGTGGTCTTATCTGTGTCTTTTAGAATAAGCTGTAGGCACCATCTTCCATTTCCTTGATCTGTACTGGAATTGGGCAGCATCTGTGCACTTACTAAGGTCATAATGAAACCCCGAAGCTCAAGTGTTCACCTCAGTACTCCCCAAAGCACAATTTGAGCAGAGATAACAGTCACAGAATCAGCAGTCCCTCCAAAATGGAGACGCGAATGACTGCACAGGCAGCCTGGGGACTTGATACTGATTAGCAATTTCCTCTGCTGTTGCATTAGCACGACAGCAGATTCCCTTATAGGGGACTGTGGAGAGCACATTTTCCCTTTCCTCTTAAAGCACTGATCTCTGAGGACTAGCAACAGAACTCTAGTCCAAGTGCATGTATGAGGCACATTCCAGGCAAGATTGAAATTTGGAAGTAATTTGATTATGGGTCTCTTGTGCCTTCCCAATCAGTGCTCTCCTGAACATTTCGGAGGCGATCTTACTCCTGACATCACCGCGTTCAACAATAGATTACAGGGAAGCTAGAAGTATTCTCACAAATGCGGTTTACTGTGAAGGTCTCCTGATTTCTCTTGTCTAATATTTCTGCTACCCTAACCTAAAATTGTCGTGAAATTAGTCATCCTAGAGGAAAACTTGAATCTGTTAAGGTGAAGGTTCAGGGTAGCCTGGCGTCTCGTCTCCTAATGCAGACATCGTGGTCCGTGTTCCATATCTCTTCTTTATCACTGCATGCATATTTGAATGCTCTTCAAACAAATTTTTATGTAAGGTGCCATTTTCTCATACTAAATAACTTCTGTTTAAACATCAAATAGCAATTGCTCTTGGGAAAGAGTGTCAACAGAATGGAAAATGCCCTTTGTGAAGATGTCTGTCCTCCTCCAGACTCCAGCCACCTCTAAGGGGCAGCTACTGTTAACAGTTTCTTGTTTAGACTTCCAAGAAATGGTACTGCATGGGTTAATATGTTTCATTGCAATAATTCTCAATTAAAATACTTTATCATAGTTACGCATGTTTGAGTATAGTTGAAAGAAAGCGGACCTATATCATCAAATTGCCCTTCAAAGATGGAGAAGGGCAGTGGGGAATAACTCAGAACCAAGATGGATTATGTAAAGGTGTAAATTTCCAAGATGAATGTCATCATATTGCGTACCTTAAATGTACCAATAAAATTAATTTTTTAAAAAGGGGGAAAAGGTCCATTAATATCCTATCTATATGTTAAAAATCCAAAGACGGTGGCCCCAAACTGGACAAAAACCCTAACTATAACCACAAAGGTGTTTTTATCATTCTCCTCCTCCTTCTATTCTGGGTCTAAATTTCTCATTATTTGATAACCAGACCATGGTGAGACTGAGCACTTTCTAAACCCACACTAGGATAATTTGCCACAGTTTTCAGGTAAGGAACTGTGGCTCTGCAGCACTGGTTATCTGTAAGATATTCCATATCTATGTTCAATACTCTCCATACACACTTGTCCAATAATTATTAAAAAATGTTTGGGGCCAGGGATTTAGCTCAATGTTGCTGCACTTGCCTGGCAAGTACAAGGTCCTGAGTTTGATCCTCAGTACCCCCGCAAAAATGTTTGGGTTATCAATCCAGGAAAGTGTCAGTTATCATCATGGTTTAATATGTATTAATCTACTTATCAGTGGAATATCTTTTCGAATGTTTACAGGCATCTGCATTTATTTTTCAGTTCAATTCTAGCACATGTATTTTTCCATTTCTGTCATTCATTTGTAAAAAGAAAACAAAAATGTGATTAGTAGCTTTTCAAAAGTGCAGTGTCAATTCTATGACTATAGATATTTTTTCTTTCAAGTTTATTTCTTGATTCTTATATGAATCTAAGACTTAATATGTATTAATCTACTTATCAGTGGAATATCTTTTCGAATGTTTACAGGCATCTGCATTTATTTTTCAGTTCAATTCTAGCACATGTATTTTTCCATTTCTGTCATTCATTTGTAAAAAGAAAACAAAAATGTGACTAGTAGCTTTTCAAAAGTGCAGTGTCAATTCTAAGACTATAGATATTTTTTCTTTCAAGTTTATTTCTTGATTCTTATATGAATCTAAGACAAGTAAGTGATCAGCAATTATTCACTGTATTACTGTCTCCACGATTATGAGTGTGTGTCGCCTTTTGGCATTTCCTTAGTCAGAAAGCATTTTGTATTTAAACATAAGTTTTTGTATTTTGTCAGTTTTCACATTTCTGCTCAAAGTGAATTTTATTTTATTGTTCATTTCAGGCCATCATTGAGGAAATTATTAAGTCTCCACCCCCAGGATAGTGAGTGACTAATCAAAATGATTCACTGTGTAACCTAGCTCCCTTCACTACTCAAACTGTTGCTTTTCATTTATTAGTACCTCATGTGTATCTGTTTTAGGGTTTTTCTGTATGGTTTCATAATTTATTTCTTATTACCACTGTAGTTTTCAAATTTGATAATACATATCATATTTGGTCGGCTAGACTCTCTTCATTCTTCTTTCTCATCAGAATTTCTATCACTTTCTTTAGTTAAAATTGTAGTATCAAATTTACAGGAATTTCATTGAACTTATAGACTAATTTATGAAGTATTATATATGTAACCTTTCTATTTAAAGGTACTACGTATTTAGTTAAAGTTTATGGATTTTATAGGCAAAATTTACCTTCACATGGAATGTGTTGGGTATTTTCTTTAGAAATTTTAACCTAGTTCTCCCTTTCTTTCCTTCTTCCTTCCTTCCTTTCCTCTTTCCTTCATTTCTTTTTGTGATTGGCATTGAACCCAGATCTTTGTACATTCTAAGCATGCACTCCACACTGAGATACACTCCCAAATCCTCGACCTATTATTTATTTTAGTTTTACATTTCTTCAATCATTTGCAAGGAAAAATTTAAAAACTTAAACAAGATATTTATGTTTTGAGTTATAAAGACTCGGGGGAATATTTTGGATATAAAAAGTGTTTTTAGCTGGCATGATGGTATATACCTGTAATCCCAGCTCCTGGAAGATGACACAGGAGGGTTGTGAGTTCAAGGTCAGCCTGGGCTACACAGAGATTTTCTCTCAGAAAAAGTGTTAGTAACAATCTCCTCTGGTATCACTTCATCTAGACAGATGCCATCTCCTCAGCTGGTGAATAGATGTCAGGTGCGTACAGAATGTATAAAATATGCAGACTGGAACTTCATGGTCTTGATTTCTTCTTGTGAAGAAAACCATCCTTTAAAAGTCAATGTTAGAACTTACACTTATTTTCTTTTAAACCAATGTCTTAAAAGATTTCTCAGCATGTCTCCCAAATCCTCGACCTATTATTTATTTTAGTTTTACATTTCTTCAATCATTTGCAAGGAAAATTTTAAAAACTTAAACAAGATATTTATGTTTTGAGTTATAAAGACTCAGGGGGAATATTTTGGATATAAAAAGTGTTTTTAGCTGGCATGATGGTATATACCTGTAATCCCAGCTCCTGGAAGATGACACAGGAGGGTTGTGAGTTCAAGGTCAGCCTGGGCTACACAGAGATTTTCTCTCAGAAAAAGTGTTAGTAACAATCTCCTCTGGTATCACTTCATCTAGACAGATGCCATCTCCTCAGCTGGTGAATAGATGTCAGGTGCGTACAGAATGTATAAAATATGCAGACTGGAACTTCATGGTCTTGATTTCTTCTTGTGAAGAAAACCATCCTTTAAAAGTCATTGTTAGAACTTACACTTATTTTCTTTTAAACCAATGTCTTAAAAGATTTCTCAGCATAACTCCAAATATTACAAACCCAGAACTCTCAAGATGATAGAAGGTGGTCTGTCTAATGTTAACCTGCTACAATATATTTTGTGTTAGAAAGAATTACTTTGTTTAAGTAATATATTATAATTTCAAAAATATCATATTTACAAAATATATATCTCAGCATATTCAATATTTAAGACATTCAAAGGAGATGTTAATGAACAATACAATTCTGAACACAAAGAGAACAGATTCTCCCACGCCAGCAAACTGAATAATTGCTCTTCTTTCGAATATGGTTGTTAGTATAATTAGTAATATTTGTTAAGAATTATGACTAATACAGACTATCTACCTACTCAGGATAGTTTTATTCGGAGGGGGCTTCCATTAGAAAAACAAGATGATGTAATGGCAGGTAAGAGAGAGTAAGTAGATCTCGAGCATCTGAATGAAAAATGAAAATGCATATGGATTTTTACTTAACCCCACACTGTCAACAATGTCAAATGTCCACCAGTGGGGAATTGTCCACTGCTCCAAGCTGCTCTGCCTTGACAGAGGCTTCTCCAGCTCTCAAAGCTCCTCTGCCCTTCCTTCCTCTGAGGCTCCTCACTGTTGGGGTCTAGAAGGCCCTGGTTTGTGTCTACAGCAGTAATTTCATTCTCTTTCCAGGCCTCTACCCCGGCTCTTCTCACACTGATCTATACTAATTATCTCCTTCCTGCTTGTCACTGCCTAACCATTGCATGAGGAATCAAAGTAATTTTGGTGGCCACTAAATAATTTAAATGTTTTCACAAGGGGAACAACTATTATTTCTGAACATTTTCCAAAGTATTTTAGAGGAAATATGTTAAATGGGCCAGGAACTTCCAAGATAAATCAACTGTCTTCACATAATGTTTCAAGCAGCATCAGGATGACCCTTAATATCTCTCTTCTTGAGGAAAAACTCTCAAAATTCAGCCAAGTAGAACCAGATTCCCAAAACTAGCTCTGGATCAAAACTAAACTGAAAATAGTAACACATTGTAAGGAAGTCTAACCCTGCATGTGAGCTGAAGGTACTTAACCATGGATGGAATTCAAAGTGAATCCTAAGCCAGCAAGATGGCTCTTAGAAATTCATTTTGCAGCCACTTAGTATGATATTCGGCATTTTGCTGTTGAAAAATGCTGAAGTTGTTTCTTGCTCTTTTTCCTCTTCAGGAACTAAAGAAGTGTGAAATGCAAGTTTGGAGAATTGCTGAGAACAGCCCAACAGCCCTGCAAATGCACCTCCTGGGGACAGACTTCTGTTCATTAGAGCAGGCTTGCTGTTGAGGAAGCTGGATCACCTTGCAGAGGTGTCTGAAAGGCAGATGTTGGTGCAGCTCAGAGCAGCAGACAGCAGTCATCTTAGGGGCTGAAGCTTTAGCTAAAAAAAAAAAAAAAGGCCTTTGAAGAGCGATGAAACCCTTGACCTACTTCGGAGGTTTATTTATTTATTCTTTGATGTCCCAAAGCACTAGCCTTTTGTATGAGGTGAAAGGAGGGTAAAGGAGCACATAGGTAGTATTTTTCCACAAACTTAGTCCCATAAATGTGGCTATTCTCTAAATTCACTTTTTCTTTCCCATTTTCAGCTTGATTTCTCCTGAGGTTACTTTAATGCATTTAGCAGAAAGTCTCTCTTGAAACCTTATCCTCACAGATGCTGGGTACTTTGAGTTATTTTACCTCAAGTTTTCATGTAGTAGATTCCAGTCAGCCACTGTTTATTCATTCATTCATTCATCATTCATGCAGCAAATATTGATTTTTGAGGCTCTGCTACAATCCCCAAACTTTTCTAAGCACTGAGAATATATCCACTGTAGGGAGGGAAGCAAAAGTGCATACCTTATAAAACTGACACACTTCTCTAGAGAGACTAGAACTATTTAAAATGTAAGCTAGACCAGAGTGGTGCACACCTCTAATCGCAATATTCTGGGAAGCTGAAGCAAGATGATCACAAATTTGAGCCAAAAAAAAGAGTAAAAAACGGTGCTGGGGTTGTAGCTCAGTGCAAAGACCCTGGATCCAATCCACAATACTGAAAAAGGAGTTATTGTATAGGTGGGGATTAGTGGTAAACACTGAAAAAAATGGTATCAAATAAGAGCAGTACCGAGCGCTGTGGGAGAACGTACAATTGTGAGAAGGGCCCAGGCAAGAGCAGAAAGGGGTATGTAAGCAAACCCTCAGGGTATAGAGGAAGTGGGCCCTGCTGATGGATGAAGGAAAGGTTTCCAGCAGTGCACAGAGCACTGGGCCTGGAGCCTAGCGAGCGCCTGGTGAGCTGGAGCAGCAGAAAGAGCAGAGCGGGCAGAAGAGACAGCAGTCAACAGCAGCAACGGTGCCAACACCAATGCTGGGCTTACATTTACTCTGAAGGAAATGGGTGTCACTGGAGATTCAGGAGGGGGACAACTGAAACTGCTGTACATTTCAGTGGGCAGACTGAGAACAGACAGCACGGAGAAGGGAGGAGTCAGGAAGACCAGCTGAGAGGTCATGGCCAAGATTAATGGCAGAGCTGACCCTGTTGGGAATTGGGACACAGCAAGGAGACAAGGAACAGTAGCAGATGACCCCAGCTAGACCCCACGGGCGGAGTCAGTTGCTGATGGCATGAACAACATCAGGTGCAATGAGAGAAAGGAAGGCTTTGGGTTGAACAACTGGAGTCTGGAGTCGCCTGTGGCTGACATGAGATTTTTAAGGTTTGGTTTTGGACTGTTAGGTTGGAAATATCCAGATGTCTAGACATTTTCTATCACAATCACATGGAAGCCCAGCAAGAATCTGAGTGAGGGGAGCAAACTTCATGAGGGAATCAGGCCAGCAGCACAGAGGATTCACACACAAACCTTGAGCAAGTGGTGTTAGTGGAAATTAAAGGAGCTGGGCAGGGTGGCACATGACTATAACCCCAGTGTTAAGGAGGCTTGGGTTCCAGGACAGCAAGCCTGGGCTTCAACGCCAGCCTGGGCTGCATAGTGATACCCTGTCTTAAAACCAAACAAACAAACAAACAAACAAACAAAAAATGGAGACCAGGGGAATCTTCTGAAAGATTACTCCTGAAGACAGGCAAGAACTGATAAGGAGACTGAATTCTAAGCCCTCTAAGAAAAAGTACTGTATCAGCAAGAAAAGAAACAAATGAGGAGGTAATGGATATTTAAAGCCATCTCAAGGGAGGAAGAGTAATCATATGTGTCAAATACTGTTTTTATGCCAAATAAATGATGATTGAAAAACTGACTCAGACTTAGCAATAGGAAACTCATCAGTCCTCTGGAATAAATAAGGCAACTTCATATTATTGTGCAAGTTATTTGTATGTTTGATAAGCACAAAAAGAAATGCAGTAGTATTTTTGGAAACCTAATTTACTGCTGTAGCTCACTAACTGCTAAAATAATCTTCCATTTTGGGGAAGCAATTGCTGCGTTCCCCATTTGAGAGGATAAAAACAGCATGGGTTTTGTACAAAGAGCGATATGAGTCTGAATACTTATTCTTGAGCTTATTAGTGAAGTGATGAAGTTTGGTTAGCACCTAAAACTGCAAATGAGAAAAATAATATCCAGTTTGTGGCACTTCTATAAATTAGATATACACCATTCAGACTAACTTAATCTATTTGGTAACAAAATTATATTGAGTAGTTCACCATCCAAAATGGTTGAGAAATAATACAAAGTTGTCACCTCTCCCTCCTGAAACTCCACTATAAAGACAATAAAAGACTGAAAGGGGAAATACTCAACAATAACAACAACAGAGAAAGAATAAGTGTTCGGCATCGGCAGATAATAAATTTCAGCATCTTGTGGAAGAAGAGAAAGCAGACTGAGGAGCTGCAGCCAGGATGGGTGTGGTGCAGGCCACTGAGAAGGTCTTCAAAAGGTCTCCTGTGACTGACTTATTTCAGTTATTGTTATGGTCTTAAGATACATCCATGTTCCTACAAATGGCTCAGAGTTACCCTTCCTTATGGCTAGATATTACTGCATTGTGTATATATGCTACTATATTCACGTATCACTTTAGCTCTTTTGGGACCATACCCAGAAGAGACCCAAAATATATGTAATATAAAGAGGAAAGTAAAGAAGCCCTGTTAAGGAATAGGAAGGTAGACTCAGTGGTGGGAAGGGGGTCTGAGGGAGTGGGGAGATGACGGAGGACAGGGCCACAGAGCAGCTCCAATGATCAAGACGCAACATGTATATGTAGCAAACACGCTGAATGTGATTGTTGTGTGTTGCCAACACATTAATTTAAAATTTTAAAAGTAAGAATAAATTGCTTAATCTAAAGCTTAATTGTGCAAGCAGTATAGGTACCTAATAACTATATTTAGTAATTAAGCAAGTCTCTAGTAAGGTATTAAGAGGAAGAGACAAAATTTAATTCTCTTCCTCCCTAAATTCCATGCCATGATAATGTCATGAAAGCCAACAGATAGATCACACCGACAAATACACTGTGTCAGTTAGCCTATGCGACTGTTACCTACTCGTGTATCTGAAAATACAAATTTTGCCATAGTAAGAAACCTTAATCTTCAAATATCCTGTCTCAGTTGCTTTCCGTTCTCTATGTATTTGAGTGAAATCCAAACAAAATCACTTTCCTTCAAAGGGAGTAGTCTTTGTGGGGGAAATCGGGCTAGTGCAAACTAGAGGAGTGATAGCTAGAAAAGAGCTACAAGTCTTACTGATGATTAATGCCTTTGACTACCTGTTCAACGGGAAGAAAGTAAGGCAGCAATATGTAAAACCAGCAAAGAGATACAGACATACAGAAAGATCAGTTAGAGCCCAAAAGAGACCAGGAAGTGTTCACGATGAACGCTGAATAAGGTGACGTACTTAGGGATCAAGGCGCTACCGAATGAGGCGAATCAGTCCTGAATAATAATGTGAGTGGTGATCAGTTTGACATCCCGAGCAGAAGAATGTCGACAAGACTGGCTGTTCTCTAAAAGTAACACTTGTTTTACATAGGACGTGGATCTCTGACCTCAAGAATCCTGGGATTTCCTAGAGTCTGAAACAGACCAGCACCCTTTGTCCAAACCACCATTCTTTCTTAATGAAAAATAATGAACGTGATGAACTGATTTACTCAATTGCCTCATTATTGGTCTGCCCTCAAACGGCAAGTCTTCTGCCTCTGTGACCCACTCTAGTGCCTCAGACCTTGGCTTATACCACAGCAAACTCACACAGAAATAGTACAGACATGTATTAAAAAACACACACACAAAAAAACCTACTTGCACTGTAGGGAAATTAAATCAGCAAAAGTATTGGGTTGTGTCTCATGTATTGGCTTTATATCAGTGGAATGGACCCTCCCACCATGCAAGCAACTCCGGATATCCTGAACTTGTTAATAAAGAATGATATATCTATCAAAGTGAAGGAAATCAGGATATTTTCTGGTTTAAACTGAGCAAAAAAAGGCTAATACACTACTTGATGAGATTTTTGTCTGTTCTCTAGAAAGTCATCTGACTCAAGGTTAAATTAGCTGTTCAGAGGAAGATAAACTCCTAATATGCAAGGTTGGATTTCCTGCTTAGATAGGATTCCTAATGTCACACGAGAAGGAATTTATGTGCTTTTTATTTAAACTTATCAAACATGCTTTACATTCTCACATACATTTACCTAATTTTCCTGAACTCTAATAAATCTTCTCATTTCACTTTCTGTTCATGTACCCTCTTTATTCTCCAAAACAGTTAATGTGATGTTCCTTTGCAAGTTTTGCTTCTCTCTCAGACCTAAGGTTAGGTTACAGAGGTCTTAGCTTCTTCACCGCGTTCTGAAACACTTGGCCTTGCTCCATTCTGTGTGTGGTCATCTCTTTCCATTCAACAGTGTGAGATGTCCTCTCCAAAGTCTGTGTGTCAGTCTGAAGACAGGGAATCACTAAAAGATAGGTGGCAAAACATACCAATGAATAACCTATTTAGGGTAATATTTTATATGCCTTATTCTTATCTTTAAAATTGCTTTGTAAAGTTTGTAGTAATCTCAGGTGGAATAAGCAAGTTTTTATGGTTATGATTTTATCATCTTATCTTTTTGTCTTTCACTGTTTTAACTTTTTAAAGACGCTGTACTAATACTCTTCAAATAGTTGAACATGTACTGTACCCTTTCTTTATGCAGTCTATTTAAGCAAAGAATTTGTTCTACAAACTTGTGGTTACCAACTGGTCTTGCAAAAACAAAATTTTACTTGTGGCTGAATATTGAAAGATGCAAGAAAAGATTAAAAAGTAGAAATTGATGTGTAGTAGCCTTTAATAGTCATGTAAGTAAGCAGGTT